GCGGAGTTCCCTGCCGCAGAGCCCGCCTTCCCCTGCTCGGGGGAGGGGTTCGCCCCTCCCCCTCTTTCCCATGCAGTGCACATCCCCTCCCCCAGGGAGCCGGCAGCCAGCCAGGAACCATGAGGGCACCATGATCACCCCCTCCCAGCCATCCGTTTCAAAAAGCCATACGAACACACAAACACACACACACACATTCTGCCTCCAAATTCGGAGCATGCGACACCAACCCCATGCGCCCCCCCCACACCATCGACGTCAAAGAACCATACACTTTGGGGCAAAGTCTGGATTCATATTCGCGAGGCCCGCAAACACTTTGTATTGTTTCTTACCAGGACGGCGGGGGTGTCAGCATATCGCCTTCTGCGCGTAGGGCTACCATCCATTACAACAAAAAATGCAAAATGCTCCCCGCGGCTAAATCTGGATCATGAGCGGCCACCCCGCGATCACTGTCAAGTGGTTTTTGACAGGGACGGCGGGGCTGGTGGCGTACGGCCTGCTGTGCGCAGGCTCACCAGACACAATGATGGGCATTGGTTTCCGACAAGGATGGTGGGGGCCGACATGTTTCCCGATGTGTGCTCTCACGTGCGCAGGCGCACCTGACACACTCTGCACGTGCCCCGAACGTGGCGCACCTGGCGCGGCTGGAGTATGCGGCACACCTGGCGCATGCGGAGGCACGTGGCGCATCTGGCGCATCAGGCGTGCCTGGCACGCTTGGGCCCCAAGGGTGCCTGGTGCGCGTGGCGCGCCTGGCACGCGTGGCGCACCTCGCCCCAGCGTTGCGCACATGGGCTCGGTTTTGGTTCCCACTAGCTGTCCATCCAAAGACGACCGCTGAACATGCTGAGGCTCGGATGTTACTCATGTGTTGGGAGGGCGGGTGGGAGTGGGCTAGACGGCTTGTTATCTAGGAGGGTGTCTTGACCCCTCCCCCTACCCCCGCACCTGGACCTGGAAGGGGCGCCCTGCGAGGGATCAGAGCGCCCAATATGGCCCAAGATGGCTCGAAGAGGGCCCAAGACAGCCCAAGAAGGCCCCTAAGATGGCTCAAGATACCTCAACATCGCTCAAGATAGCCTCCGGCAAGCCTCCAAGACGCCCCAAGAAAGCCCCAAGAGGGTTCAAAGTGCCACTCCCGCCTCCCAATGCACGTCCACGGAGGCCAAACTCTGTCAAAAACCTAAGGAATATCAATGTTGTTTAGCTTTTCGCTTGTTCGCTTCCGATGGGCCTTTTGGGCCTCAAGATGGCCCCGAGATGCCCTAGAGAGGCCCCAGAGGGGCCCAAGACGAACACAACACGGCCACAAGAGCGCCGAAGGGGGGCCCAAGAGCGGCCCAAGAAGCCCCCAAGAGGCCATCTTCGAGCTTCTGAGGGGGGGGGCCTAAATTGACCCCCCCTCTTTGATCGATCTCCTCCCATCAGAGCCCCAAAGGGGGGGCCCAAGACGGTCCCAAGAGGTCCCCCTGACCCCCCCAAAGAGCCCCAAGAGGGCCCCCAGACTCCCAAAAAGAGCCCCAAGAGGGACCAAAAAAAACACCAAGTGGCTCCGCGAGGACCCCGAGAGAAACCCGAGACGGCTCCGGGCGACCTCAGACCCTCGGAAAAGCATCGACAACGAGACACACATCCAGGGCCGCATGCAACCTCTTTCTCCCCCTCCCTCCCCTCCTCCTCCTGTCCCTCCTCCCCCTCCTCTTATTATTAATTCGTATTACTCTTGGCATGAATCGTATTGGTATTAATATGCTTATTATGTATAGAAGTATTGTTTCTATGGTTGGTAATAATACATTCGTAACAATCGCATAATTAATAGTATCATTCCTCATATTGCTATTATTCTTCTGAGCAACAGCATGTTTGTTAGTATCCGTATGAATATTCGCATTCCTGTTTTTGATAATAATATTAGTAGTACTAATTGGCATTCGTATTATTTTACGTATTATCATTGCTAGTATTACGAAAAGTATTATGATGTTGTTGTTCTTCGTATTACTATTACTTCGAGTAGTCTGATGCTTAATATTCGTAGTCGTATGTTGGTTCTTAATCTCAATATTACGAGTATGCATATCATTATTATTACTCATCCTCATGTTCCTCCTCATCATCATCAGCATTATCATCATCACCATCCTCATCCTCATCCTCCCTCCCTCCCTCCCTCCTCCCTCCTCCCTCCTCTCTTCCTCCTCCTCCCTCATCCTCCTCCTCCTACGCCTCCTTCTCCTCCTCTTCCTCCTCCTCCTCATCTGGGGCAATATGGTCTGATGTGTTTCTAAACCCGTTCGGAAAAGCGCTAGCATAATGATGGTGCAGGAGCCCGTCCCCGATGACCTAACCGTGGCAGGTCAGCATTTGCCGAAGAGGACCCCAAGAGAACCCCCATAGAGCCAAAACGGCGTCAGGTCGACCTGTTCAACCTACCCTTTGACGACTCATACAATGAATGTTCCCGCCCTCCCCGCACCGCCGAAAGGGATCCAAGGCGGCTGACGCACTGCATGCTTCTACGCTGCCCTCATTAAGGCAACTCACCTGGCGATCGTGTCTGGATGGGCTTGTGGGGATACTTTTCCGTCCCAGCCGCAAGCGAAGGCGCATGCGGCGTCAGAGGTCGACCTGGGCTGCGGGCGCTGGTGGGGATACGCGAAGCATCAAGAATTTCGAGGCGTGCTCGACGAATTCCGACCCCTGCCCGCGCCGCCCATCGAGTTGCCTGAATCGTGAATCGTTGATCGGCGAAGGTAGGGTTCGGATTTCACCGCCGATCGTTGGTTCCCAGAGGTTGTCCTGGGCAAGAGTTGTATTCATAACCGTTGCGTCTTGGAGTTATGGGCTCACTTCCCCAGCGACCAGAGGCGCAGTGTATATGGATAAAAAAGTCTGGCCCCTAGAAGCTAGATTTTGTCCATATCCACTGCGCCTCGGCCTTTTGCCGCCCCTTCCCAGAAACTCCAAGACGCAGTAGATATGGATATAAGTCTTACCCGCATCTCCTGCCTCGGCACGCGTTCCAGCAGCTGCGCATCGCCGGCGTTCTGGGGGTGCAAAGATCGCCCTGAACAGCTGCCACAGACTCGGGCTACGACCCCTGAAAACCGGGCAGCCCTTTGCCAGAGTGACCTCTGGTGCGCGACTTTCGGGGGGCGCAAGGGCATTATGTTGCATCTTCGGGTGGCATTCTTTGACTCGTCGCGCTGCTGCCCGCATTGAGCCCACGTTCGACGTGGAAGCCGCGTCGCACATCGAACCTGCGTCGAGTCCACGCCGAATCTGCGTCGAATGGACGCCGAATCCGACTCGAGATCACGTCGAGCCCGCGCGGGGCCCAAGAGAAGACGGCAGCTCACAGGACGGGCACGGCCCCCGGAAGATGCAGTGTGTACCTACTGGCAGACGACGCCGACGCCGGTGCCGGCGCTCAAGGCCGGCCACCCTCCGAGGCTCGTTTCGGGCGGTCTGGAAAACACCCAGAGAACAAACCACGGCGCAGAATCTTCTGCACGCACGAGATGGGCACGGAAAGAATGGGTACAATGCCCAACAGCAGTTCCTGTTCATTTTGAACAGGACTCGCTGTCCGCGCCGCCGCGGCTTGTGTCCATTTGAGACAGAAGGCCGCCTGCCCAACAGTGGCCGCTGTTGGTTTGGGACAACATTTGTTGTTGGGCATTGTACACATTCTTTCCGTGCCCATTTCGGGCGTCCAAAGAATATGGAGACGACGTCGTCGCGGCAAGCGCCCGGCAGGTGCGCAAAAAGACTCAAAGCGATGCCCCCTGCCGAGCCAACTGCCAGAAGGACAGTAGGAATCAGCAAATAGTGGGCTCCCTGCCGTTCAACAAATGGGGATCCTTTCGTCGCAAGTTTCAAGCCCGGAGCGTGTCTCGTCAAACTCCCGAATCGGCCACAAGCTGCCAGCACTGGCGAAACGAACCTCTGCGGCCAGCAGCCACGACTACTCTGCCAAGTGCCGAGGCGTTCATCCCGTGCCCCCTTAAGAAAACCCAGCTTGGTTCTGCACCCGCCCTCCGCGTGGGATGTCAACAAAAAAAACTCACACTACCGACGAACATGCCTGGGTGGTACAAAACATGTGTCACCTATTTTCGCGGATCGAAGCAGCGCGAGGCACGATCGAAGTACACTCGCCCTCTTTCGCCGCACGAAGCGAGAAGCGTGATCACATTCGCGCCCCTGCGGGAGACCTAGCAAGTAAGAAACGAAAGGTGGACGAGCCCAGATCCTTGTGAAAATCGTCGCAGATTCTGCAAGCTCGGCCCGAAAGACGCCACCTGAGCACTGGAGACGGAACAGTGAGACAGGCGAAGATAGGATTAGGTCGGGCATGTCCCCCTACAGGCAGAGTTTGGACGAAAAAGTAAAGATTGTCAAACCGTACTCAAAAAAATGCTCAAACATTGTCCCCAGGCAACTATCTTTGAATATTTATCCTGCAGAGGGACAGGCCCGACTTAAAGATAGGTTCGTCAGGAAGGAAGGAGCCGCGGCGCCTTCGAGATGATCAGCAGCAGCGCATCCACGAGATCTTTCTTGAAATCCGCGGACCCGTCCTCACATGCGTGATAACAAATAAGTGTGATAGACAACGAACAAGTGTGATAAAAAATGTAATAAAAAACATGTGTTGTTTATCACACCTGTTTTTATCACACGTGTCTTTTATCAGCCTGGTTCGGTGCACACGGGCGGGACAGAAGCTCCCGTGCAGTCAAGCAGTCTCCCAGCTGCGAGGCCCGAATTCGTGCACATCCACTATCGAAGTGGCTTATGTCCCAGGACACCGGGCGGGGCCGAACAGATCTGGGGCCCAGGGGGGGGGGAGGGGGAGGGCCGAACCTGTCCACAGCGACCCATCGGTCGGAAAAGAAGTGGGTCGAAACGTGCAGACAGGCGTCGAGCTAAATTGGACCTCCGCCCGCCCCCTGCAGACGAGGGAAGAAGGAGAACCGCTCGATCCTTGAAACCGGAGGATGCCTGAAGAGTAGTGGAGACTGGGGATCTAACTGGAGGAGGAGGAGGAGGAGGAGGAGGAGCCTAGCTTCGACGAGCAATGGGTACCTGCCTCCCCCTCGCCTCAGGGCCCCAATGGATAAGCACATATCTGGTCCAAGGGGGGGGGGGGGGCGACGAGCATGTCCATACCCGCCGCTCCCCGTGGTCATGGTGCATCGGCCCCCCGAACGGCATGCACGTATAAAACTCCCGCATCGGACCAGCCCCCCCCCACAGTGGAGGAGGGAGCGGGCGGAGGAAGAGTAACCTGCTTGGCCCGACACGGACCTGCTTGGTACCAACCGCAGGCCTCTCTGCGCTGCCACGGCTCCCGCCGCTAGGTTGGCCGTGACGTGCGCTCCTGAGACGCTTGGGCTGTAGGGTTAGGTCGGGCATGTCCACCTCCGGGCGGATGTTGGGCGATTTTTTTTCAAAATACCCAAAAGATATTCACAAATTGCCGGAAGAGAATGGAAAAATCGTCCCCTGACTATCTGTTGACTATTTTTGAAAATTCCTCCTGTGATTAGGGGGACGCGCCCGACGTAACTGCAAGGGGGCCTCCCGGTGATTGCGGGGCGGGGCTCGGCCTCGGGCTCGGCTCCGCGCGCACGGCGCCACGAAGGCGCGTTGCGGAGGGGGCGTCGAGGCGCCTGCATGGAAGAGATCGGCGAGGCCAACACTCCCATGTGAAGAGTATGCAGGAGAGGCCTCAGAGGAGAGGCAGGCGGCGGAGGAGGAGGAGGAGGAGGAGGGGAAGGCGCGCAGTGCAGGCCCTTGCGCGGGCAGCGGGCCTCGGCCCCCCTGCGACCGAGGGGGCACGAACCAGTGCTCGAGGTCTTCTGGGACGCCACCATCTTCGACGACCTGGAGCAGATCGAGCCGACACCCGGCTGCAGGCCATCAAGGCTGAGCTCGAGAGAGTGCAGGGTTGGGGGGGTGGGGGGGCATAGCAGAAGAGTCTGGGGGGGGGGCGGCGCCAGGAGGCCAGGAGGGAGCAGGAGCAGCGATCCCCGGACGCCCCCAGGAGCAACTGCACCGGGAAAAAAGATGGGGACGAGGTTCTTGGACAAGGGAGGTGTGTGTGTGTGTGACCGGCTTCCTCCTCCCTCCTGCCGTCGCCTGGCGCCTCCTCCCTCCCCTCCTGCATGGTGGCCGAATTCGCGTTCGGGCATCTTCCACCGCCTCACCGCCAGCGCAGTCACTCTGCCTAGCCGCCGACGGAAAAATGTGTGTACGTGTGTGGTGTGTGTGTCTGTGTGTGTGTCTGTCTGTGTGTCTGTGTGTGTCTGTGAGTGTGTCTGTGTTGTCCGTCTGTGTGTATGTCTGTGTCTGCGCCTGTGTGTCTGTCTGTCTGTGTCGGTGTGTCTGTGTCTGTGTGTCTGTGTCTGTCTGTGTACGTCTGTGCGGTGCGTCTGTCTGTCTGTGTGTCTGTGTGTGTCTGCGTGTGTCTGTCTGTGTGTGTCTGTCTGTGTGTCTGTCTGTGTGTGTGACTGACGGTGTGTGTCTGTCTGTGTGTGTCTGTCTGTGTGTGTCTGTCTGTGTGTGTCTGTCTGTGTGTGTGTCCGTCTGTGTGTGCGTCAGTCTGTGTGTGTGTCTGTCTGTGTGTGTCTGTCTGTGTGTGTGTCTGTCTGAGTGTGTCTGTCTGTGTGTCTGTGTGTGCGTCAGTCTGTGTGTGTCCGTCTGTCTGTGTGTGTCTGTCTGTGTGTGTCTGTCTGTGTGTGTGTCTGTGTGTGTCTGTGTGTGTGCCTGTCTGTGTGTGTGTCTGTATGTGTGTGTCTGTCTGTGTGTCTGTCGGTGTCTGTCTGTCTGTGTGTATGTGTGTGTGCGTCAGTCTGTGTGTGTCTTTCTGTTTGTCTGTCTGTCTGTGTGTGTTGTGTTTGTGCTTGTGCTTGTGTTAGTGCTTGTGTTTGTGTTTTTGTTTGTGGTTGTGTTTGTCTTTGTCTTTATGTGTGTTGTTGGTTGTGCTTGTGTTTGTGTTTGTGGTTGTGGTGGTGTTTGTGTTTGTGTTTGTTATTGTGTTTATGTGAGTGCTCATGTACATGTTCGTGTTTGGGTTTGCGTTCGTGTTTGTGTTTGTGTGTGTGGTTGTGATTGTGGTTATGCTTGTGCTTGTGTTTGTGTTTGTGTTTGTGTTTGTGTTTGTGTTTGTGTTTGTGTTTGTGTTTGTGTGTCGTTGTGTTTGTGTTTGTGGTTGCGGTTGTGTTTGGGTGTGTGGTTGTGGTTGTGTTTGTGTGTGTTTGTTAGTGTGGTTGTGTTTGTGTTCATGCGCATGGTTGTGTTTGGGTTTGTGTTCGTGTTTGTGGTTGCGTGTGTTTGTGCGTGTGTGTGCTTGTGCGGCTGTGCGTTTGTGTGTGTTTGTGCGTGTGTAAGTGTGTGTGTTTGTGTGTTGTGCGTGTGTGGTTGTGTGTTGGTGTGTTTGTGTGTTTGTGGTTGCGTGTTTGTGTGCTGTGTGTGTTGTGTGTTGTGTGCTGTGTGTGTGCTGTGTTTGTGTGTTTGTGCGGTTGAGTGTTTGTGTGGTTGTGTGTTTGTGTGATTGTGTCTGTGTGTGTTTGTGTGTTTGCGTGCGTGTGTGCTTGTCTGTGTGTGTTTGTGTGTTTGCGTGCTTGTGCGCTTGTCTGTTTGCGTTTATGTGTCTGTGTGTGTGTCAGTGTCTGTCAGTGTCTGTGTGTCTGTGTGTCTGTGTGTCTGTGTGTCTGTGTGGCTGTGTGTCTATGTGTCTGTGTCTGTGTGGTTGGGTGTGTGTTTGTCTGTTTGTGTGTTGTTTGTGTGCTGTGTGTGTTGTGTGTTGTGTTGTGTGTGCGCGAGTGTGTTGTGTGTGGTGTGTGTTGTGTGCGTGCGTGTTTGTGTGTGTGCGTATGTGTGCGCGTGTGTGTGGTGTGTGGAATTGTGTGTGCGACTGCTTCGCTCTTTCGCTGGTGCGGATTGCCCCGCCTCGCCGCCAGGGAAGAAGTGTGTGTGTGTGCGACTTCCCCGAGTGGCGCGACTCAGCTCACCGCGAGGTCACTCGGAGCTCCGCGGGGTGGCGCTTGGGTCCATCTTGGGCCAGGCCGACGCGCGACCCGCTTACCACTTACGCCACCCGCGGAGCTGAGACAGAACAGACTTGCAGGAGGGCATGCACATCAGTATACTCCTTCGGCGAGAAGGGAGGAGGGAGGAGAGGGGGGAGAAGGACAGGCTGGGCGTGCTCGCGCCCTACGTGGCCTCCTACCCCTCCCATCCATCCCTTCCTATTGCGATGTTTGTTATATATCCGCGGACGCGTGTCACAGAGGACCTGGAGCTCCAAAACAGTCGGAAAAGGGCAGCCGTGTAGGGAGGAGGAAGAGGAGGAGGAGGTGGCGGCAGAGCAGGAGGACGAGCGGGAGGAAAAGGAAAATGCAGGAGGGGAGTGACATGTCGACATTGGCCAACGCTGAAAGAAAGAAAAAGGAGGAGAGCGAGGACGAGCACATGCAGCAGGAACTGAAAGGGAAGAAGCTGGAGGAGGAGGAGGACGAGGGGAAGGAAAAGAAGGGGAAAGGGGGAAAGGATGCGGCGGAAACGATGGGGAAGGACTCAGATCCAGAAAAGTGGCCCGCGTTGGGGCGAGAGAGCCCTTCTGAACGACGGGAGCAGAACCCCCATCCTAAAACGATGCCCAAGCTATAGCGGGATAGCCGGTTTGGAAGGAGCGGAAACGGTCGGGCTGGAAAAGCAAAAACGAAAGACCCAGCATTTGTTGAAACCCTGCGCTTCCAAAAACATGTAAGCTGAAAGCGGGGCCCTCTCACCAAGCGTCTGTCCGGGTGAGATCGGAGAGCACGTATGTAAGATCTAGACGGTGACTGTGGAGGGGGGGCACGACAGGGGGAGGGGTGATGCGGGAGATGGAAGAGCAGGGGGAGAGGGAGGAGTGGGAGAGAGGGGGGAGAGGGAGGATGGAGTGAAGAGGGAGGGAGAGGAGGGGGAAAGGGGGAGAGGGTGGAGGTGGCAAAAAAGGGAGAGGGAGGAGGGGGAGGGGGGGAGGCTCTTGTGGCGTATGGGCGTGCCGTGGCTCGTCCAGGTAGGCTCGCGCAGGTCTCGGAGTGCCACTGGTGGCGGGGATAGGGAAGGTCTGGAGAGGGTCGGAACGCTTTGGGGAGTTCGTGGAGGAGGAGGAGGAGGCGGAGTTCCGAATATGCTTGCCAGCTTCGGGTGGGCTGCCGAAGGGGACAGAAGGGGATGCGGAAGGGGGCGGGCGACAGCAGGGAGGGATCTCTCTGGGAGGCAAAGGGGGAGCACGGGCGCGTGAACGACGGCGCCGGCGACAAGCTGGCTACGGGCACGGCCCCGACTGCTGGCGAGCCGGCCGAACAACGCGCAACGGTGAGCTCTGTGCAACCGGTCCCTGTCTCCGCCGGCGTGGCCTTGGCCCCCCTAACCGACTTGCCCACCTATGCGGGGCATATGTGCCCACTCCTTCAGACGTCGCGGGGCATATCCCCATCTAGGAGGGTGGGCGTGTGGGGCTGGGGTGCGAGGGCCCAGTGGGGAGTGAGATAGATTGGCCGATGCTGAGGTGTCCTCTCGGAGGTTCGTGGAGAGGAACGACATGAGAGTCTTGTACTTCGACGGGTACTTGAGGCACAGGCCCTTGACGGCGGCGACCACCTGGGTCGGGCGCGTCGGCTCGAGAGGGCGTCGGTCTCCTCTTCGTCCTCCAACTATCACCACCACTACTACTACTACTACAATTATGCGAACAGTGATACTGACACTGGCACGCGTACTACGACTAGGACTTTGACTACGACGACGAATACGAATACAAATTGTCATCAGACCACTATTACTACTACCACCACTACTACCACTACCACTACCACTACCACTACCACTACTACTACTACTACTACTACTACTACTACTACTACTACTACTACTCCTACGACTACTACTACTACTACTACTACTACTACTACCACTACTACTACTACTA